GAGTGAATGATGGTTAATGGCGGCAACACTCGCATATTAAAAAGGAGATATGTGGCTTCTTGTGAAATTTCTGGGTACGCATTTCTAAAATTTGCATTACTAAATAGATAGATTTTCTTTTCAACAAACAAAGTATTATGATGACGGACAGGAAGAAAGGAGATGGAATGGAACTGATAACAGATCAGAAACGAAAAAGAGAAAACTGAACAAATATTCCAAGTGTATTCAAATAAAACCTACGGACAACGCAACGCTGTAAGATACCAATCACAGAATAGGGAAGCATTTATCCACCTGTTGTCCCTTTAGACACACATGCATCAAAGGAAGTCTGCTAGACACATCATATTGCCAATGGAAGACTTTCTCACTATGGCTAATTTTATGACACCTCTTTCGTGACAACCTGACAATCTGACACCCCGTTAGTGACAAAGGGAACGAAAGTGGTTGTTTGCGGTGGCACCTAAGGATTACGGTTCTAAAACAATGCTATCAGAACAGTCTTATGATTATAAAGGGTCCGCCAATATGTGCAACTGAGAAGATTCGCGACAGTTATGAAGGAAGAGAAAATCTGCTGACGGTTGCAAAGGATCGAGTTAATAGAAAAAGCTATCTTGAAATGGAAATGAACATTTACTCTGGGCGGCCTACCACACAACAAATGAATTCAAGTGCGGGTTAGGACACTTGTTACAAAATCGCTCGCTATTTCTCACGGCGTAAGTTTAGGGGCGACAGCACAAAAAAAAATACAAAGCCTCATAGTTCTAAACAAACCCCAGTCTCCCCTCTGAAACCACACAAAAGTCTTGAAGCCAATGCTCACGACAAATGGGTGCAAGTCTTGAGAGGAAAACCTTTACAATGATTTACTTACCTGCATCTTTATACAAAGCAGTGACAGTCGCTGAAGATCTGTTTGCAGGAGCACGGTACCAGCAGAACAAGATGCGACGAATTCACTATCATGGTGGGAAGTAGGGAATAGTAAGGCGAAGGAGATGAGCTAGTAGTAGAAGTAGCACCGATGCAGGCCATTGTAACGAACAAAATCCCTATTTCAATGAATAACCGTGATCCTCGCATCATCACGAACAGTCGGCTGAACCAACCTGCTCCTCTTCAAATCCGCGCTCGCCGCTCGAAAAGAGGCGATGGGGCGCGGATTTGAAGAGGAGCAGATTAGAGGCTTTGAAAAAAGTAGTGTTTTTTTTGGAAATATTTGTGTTCTTCTTGGTATAATATCAATGTTGGTTTTAATTCAGAAATGGTGATACCCATCACCGAGTTGGACTCCTTATGGGACTGGAACCAGAATATGGTAGAATCAGTGGTTGTCAAACAGCTTACTAACTACAGGTATCTGACAGCAAAAACCCTTTCTAATGAGTTACTTACCAGTGCATCTAATCAAAGTATTGAATTCGCTTTCGAAATGATCTAGTTGGTATAACAGCTCTGCTTGATGAACTTCCAAATGTACGATATACCGTCCCAAATAAATGAACAGTTACCCATTTATAGTCATCAATTAACCTTTTTTAGAGACAAACTTGCCGAAGGTAAACCTGAGGTAATGATATGTCACGATATGAAAGGAGGATATCTTGAAGAGGAAAGGTGCCTTCGTTCTCTGTAGAAATGGTTTCGTGCTTGTTCTATTCTCATAGGCATCACTTTTTTTTGACAAGTCAGTTTTAGTTAAACCTATTTTAGTGATAATGGAATCATTGTCTCGGAGGGAGCGCCTAATCCGTATGTCTTCCTGAACTGGTGGAATATCGACATATTTTGCTATTTCTCACACAATTTCATTACAATTCCTCCATTAGGATATATTAATATCGCTCATCAACACGGTTGGTTCTTTGTGTTTTAACTTTAACTTTCATTTTCAACATCATTAGTGCGTACTTTTAAAAAGTATCATATCTTTTCATTACAATGCGCCAAATTGTATTCATAGCACTTTCACTGTGTTTGCAACTATTTGCATCTGTACGAAAAAAGTAGCAAGAACTACGTAGATGTCGCTGATCTTTGAATGTGGTTTTGGTTGTAATTTAATGTTAAGATGATTGTCATCAACTGCCTGAAAGTAAGCACACTGCCTGTTCATAGAAGAAAAGTAGTTTGACGTCGTGGAACTCGTGGTGCCCTTCAACAGCAGTTCAAGGTTCATACTTGGCTGGTCGCATTCTATCAGAAATGGCAAGCGCTTTGGATTATGTCTTCTGTTATCGCTTGTAGTTCCCCATTGAACTCGGTGGTTTGCGCGTTTTTCAAGGGTGGACGTTAAGCAATGCATTCATGCTGCCCTTTATACCGGTAAAGTTAATCGTAGTCGCGCCAGCATATATCGAAAGGAGCAGAGAGGCAAGTAGGCTCCAGTCGGTGTGCGGCAATCCACAAATTGTGGTCTTGCTTCGTTTTGAAGTCTGTCATGCCTCTACAATGCCACTTCTTTGAGGCTGTGACTCTTCCCTACCTGGCAGAAACGTTGCGAGAAACATACTCCCCGTTATCCAGAAAGACTTTTCTAAATTTGGATGGTGCATGTAGTCTACGTTACCAGCTAACCCCGAAAAATCATGCTTCTGCAGTTTCAAAGTGGTTTTAAAGTGAAAGAGTTAAGGCGATATATTACAGACTAACAGTTTGACAAAGTTATTTAGGTTGTTTGGTATTGGGTACGTTCATAACAGAATGGAAAGGAGGAGCTAAGTTATGTGACAGGATCCTTGCATCAGAGGAAACTGTAAAGAGAACGGTAGATTGCCTCGTTTCTCTCGCCGTACACTACAAGTTTGACGGATGGTTGATCAACGTCGAAAATAGAATCCTGGTAAACTGCAATCGTGCTTGGTTTTCTCTATGGTTTCCTCTAGGTGCATACAACAGTCTCTTCTTCATCTGAGTGGTACCGAGTAATTGTGAATTCAACAGGCTAAACATCTCGATAACCTGAAAATGTTCCTCCGGCTACTGACGGACAATATGCGTAAAGCAGTTCGGTTCTCCAGAGTAATATGGTATGATTCTGTTACTGTTACGGGTATGCTGAAATGGCAGAATATGCTGAATGAATCTAATAGGTGAGTCCAGTCATCGTCGAGTTCAGCTTAACCTTCTTTCCAGATATCTTTGTCATTATATTATTTTTTTGTAAGGGACTGGTACGATTCTTGTGATGGTATTTATCTCAACTACAACTGGAACGATATAATGCTTCTGAAAAGTGCTGAGCTTGGTGCAATCAACAGAATTTTTGTTGGGGTTGACTGCTTCGCCAGAGGTTGCATAGGTCAGTCTACAGCGTTTCCTTCCATTGACATTGAGGAGAATTTAGTCTTTAGGAGGATGGGATTGCCATAGATCATTCGCGAAAATTAATCTGATGCGTATGTCAGTAGCGTTATTTGCTCCGGGATGGATCTGCGAACGCTTTCCTAATGCTAATCCTATAGAACACGGATTGAGGTTCGTATGTCCTAAACGTTTAACTGTCTGATGAATATACTTTTTGAGGTTTTGGAATAAACTTGCCCTATACACACCTGTTCGTCCCATATTAGAGCTACCTGTCTCCACCAATTTTTGTGCGGGATTCACTAGAGGCAAGGAAGGAACCGTAAGTCATTTCACTACAAACGCTTCTATATTTGGCTATGCACTGCTAAGATACATACTTGAAGAGATTCTGTCTGAATTCAATTTCGTTACAACCGCACTATGTTGGCAATCCAGGGCAACCCATGCCGACGAAATATGATGGACTCCTTTTGCCGAGGAGCAGTTGTGTTCGGTACGTGCACCGAATCCACAAAATGTTGTTTACATTTGAAAAATTCAAGGCTGTTCATCTTCGATCTCAAATGCAAAGGATGCCGAATAAAGGCTACAGCGGAACATGATGTCAAGATCGTTATCAATGGCATTACTAAAGAAATGGAGCGGCAAGGAGAGGAGATCATAGTGGCAATTCGAGAGCCCATACATCTTCTTACATTAGATATATGTACAGATGATAAGAAGGATTGTTTGCTATATAACATCGAAATCAAAGAAGTGTGAATATTTATCGAGAAATAATTTATAATTCTGGATGAAGATCAATTAGCCGAGTCCACGGCAAAGAACGGCTTTGAATCCCTGAAAACGACGCATCTCTTCAAAAGCACAAGAAGAAAATCTCGGAAGGGAAACAAATCAAAATATACAACATTGGTTTCTGCAGATTGACATTTTAATCAGCAATTTTCATATAAGAACTTCTTTTTTGCAAAAATGTTCTGTCCGATACCACGCGGTATGACATTACTTCCATATCAGCAGCAGCTTAAACACCAATTCTAACACTGGTTAATTCTTCCGAGGGCTTGGGAATAGATGGCATGTTTTAGTAAATAAAAGCGACGCGACCTGCACATGAATCTTTAATGAAATAAAATAAAAATGTAAATAATAAAATAATAATGATAACAATACTTCTTTAAATAAATAGTAATAACAAGAGGAATCTTTGGAAAAGCCGTGCGATTTTTGCTTTTATTACGTTTTGATGCAAAAACGCTTTGATTAGACTTTGTATCATGGCTATGACTTCTAGACTATGCTATTGCAATCTTGAACAAATCGTGACGTCAGGAATACAATGGGCTTTCACATACATAAAACTAAATTTGTTATTACCATTACATTAAAGCTTCAAGCTTTATGTCTTTTGACTTTGCGGAAGCAGCCAATGCAATTAGTCAAAACGCAAGCTGTGTAGGTTGTGAGTGTAAATTCAAATGTGAGAGAAGTAACTTATGCAGCCGTTTCCTTTGACAGTTAAAATGGAACATCCACACTTTTATTTTTCTTGCGCATTTTGTAACCAATTGCCGTTAGAAGACGAAATATGTCGTGACTACAAGAGTCAGCTTTTCAATTTAAACACGCACTAAGCTTTGGCGAACAGGCCGGATTTTAAGAGGGTTTTAGATAACCTGTTAAATAATGAGTAACGGTCCTCAAAGAAACACAACCTACTGTTGAAGTACAAGAAAAATTACTCACTATTGAACTCACTTATAAGTGCATAACTCTTGAAAGTTTACGACAACTATATAAAAATTCACCTGTTAAGCAGCGTGTGACAGACATAGCATACATTTGCGGGTCTTCGATTTGGCCCGCTCGGGACTATATGTTGAACGCAAGTGGTGCAGAAGATTTTGCAACAATGCAAACATCTAGAAGAAATTTATATTGAAAAAGCTCTTAGGTAAGAGCAACAAAATTGCTTTAAATGAAAATATCAACGTCGAACAACAACATCAATGGTAAATAAAAGCGGTAATAGTAATAACCTTGGCCGAGGCTTAGTTTTTAAAACTGATGCTCCGCAACCCGAACAATTTTCCACGTCATCCTCCCACTGCCACCGAACTTCCTTAATAACAAGTGAAACAAATATGAAAAAAAATTCAGAGGAAAGATTTTTCAGAAACTACCTATAGACTACCTATTCTAATGTTCACCTGCTCTGATTGCCTAATCTTTTCTAGTTGAATTTGTAAACTTTGAGAGAGCTGAACGAAGTCTTTTTGAACGGCCTCCGAGGTGTCTAGTTCACTTTGCAAAGATGTACATCGAGCTTTATAGTTTTGAGCTGTTAGTTCCACAGCAGCACGCTCACTCTGGACCTGAAATCTTTGAATAGTAGACAAACAACGACTATATTGCTGTTGGCTTGGACTTCACAAATTACTGCGAAGACGTGTCATGGGACTTGAGCCTACGTGAACGTCTATGACTTCAAGAACTACTTTTCGCTATCACTTATCCTTATCGTTTCTTCCTCAGTAATTCTTACTTCGCAAATTTCTTATTGAGATCTGACAGTTTCTTACAATTTGCGTTTCATTTTAGACTGTGCGATGGTCTTGTCCACATGATTAGTTTGGAATTTCTACAGTCCTCCACCAATTTTCCACTTCCTTCGAGGCATAAGAAGGTTAAACTCGAAACAATTCAGACAATTCCATCGCAATCACACGTGGGCTGTCTGCATGATCATTAAGCTGCACTGTTTTGTGGCAAACACCCCAATCTTATGAACACATAATCGTCATTACCCTGCAGAGCCTTATTGCTTAATATAAGGTGGAAAACTAAGACCGTGATAGGTGTACCCGAACTCACATAGCAATCGGTAGAAGCATTGCGGCAACTACCGTAAACTTCTATTAAGAACTTAATTCTTCTCCACAGCGCTCGATCTGACGCAGCATGCGCGGTATGCCGTTCGGGTAGAAGGACACACCTACGGGAAACATACAAGGCATGTCACTGGATTGAACATGCCAAAATAAGCAATTGCACGGGTAAATGCTGTGGTGATGAATTGATGGCGACATTTTGAAACCGAAACCGACTTTAAAATAAAATTTCAGAGGCCAACCTGTTTCACTTGTGCTTCCAACTCAGCTACAGTATTCTGAAGGTCTCTTATTTGCCTCTCATGAGTTTCATTAGACAAAACTACAGCATCAGCGGTAGAAAGCTAAAGAAAAACAACAATACTATAAGTGGGAAAATTATAAGGAAAAGTTCAAGAATGAAGTTTGAAAAGACTACGACACTCACTTTACTAGCTGCGATTCCTAGTTGTGTTTGGAGATGATTCACTTGTGCGAGAAGATCTCGCTCCAGTGCCAACTTGGCATTCCGCTCCTCCTCCAGTTGTTCTCTGAATCATACTTATTTCATCCAACCAGTTATGCAGGAGCAGAGTAACGATTTCTCCTAGATGTGTGTGGATAGGCTAAAACATCTGTGCCGAGAAAAACCAGGGTTAGAAATGAAGCGAATGCTGTCGCTAGGCCACTATTACTTTCAAATCTGAAAGCCTATATGACTTACTGCTTCACTGTGTGCTACAAAGGGTTTATAAGAAAAAAAGCGATCTACTCACTATCAAACGGTATACAATTTCGGGTGACGGAACTCCTTCCCGAATTCCTACGGCCAGCGGCAGTGCTCCGGGCGACTGCCGTATCGTCCCACTGGGAATTCAAANAAAAAGCGCGATCGAGTGCGGTGAGCGCGACACGCCGTGTAAAGAGAAGATACCTGACCCTACAATGTCGGAGACAGATGGACAGTCAAACTCTTAGGGTGAAATGCATCACTATCACAAGTGAAGAAAATATGCTACGCTAATCCACGGCAGACGGAGCTTTTCTCAGAAGACAGCACATACAGGAACAGGACAGTAAAACATGCGCAGGTCGTACGGAGAGCTCCTAAGGAGCTCGCTATTTTGCTAGGAAAGCTGAGGAAACGTTCACGTGACCTCTAGAAAGTAATTCGCACACGGCGGGTAATCTGAACTTTCGGTTCGGAGTGATGGTTAAGCCAAACCATTCACTTCGTCCTTTTAAAAGCAAGTCCCTTCAGAAGCAAAATACTGTGACTGATAACTTTTTCTTTGAAAACGCTGATATGTATCATGCTGCTCGAAGAGGTCATACTTCTGCCCTTTGATCCAGCACAGAGAACCCGATAAAAGAATCAGAAAGAAGTATTATGGTTATCTGCAGCTAAACTTACGAAAGAAGCAAATGCACGTTCTTCATGTGTCACGAAAATTCCCACCAGCGACTCAAATTGAGGAGGATGCAGTAATCTCCTCTCGCCCTGCACACATTCAGTGGTGCGAACATCAAGAGAATGCCTAACCTTGTGGCGAACTCTATATTCGGGGAACCCATTTTCTTACTCCTGGTTTTTTGAGAAACCTACCTGAGGGAATCTCGGATGAAAACATTTGGTCTAGTCGTAGCTTCTAAAACGGCGTATCTCTGTTCGCAAAATCCCATTTCTTTATTCCACTTTTCTCTTATTTTTTGTTCACCACCAAATCTCATTTTAATCACAAAATTCCTCCTTGAAAAGCGTAAGGCAAAAAAGTTCTCTCACTTCAACAAAGCGATTTCGTCCCGCATATCGTTTTGCTCATGTTGCCGTGCGGACTTCAGTTCTATAATTTCTTCCCTCATCTGCAAACAAAGAAATTGCAGTTGATCGGCGCTCTGCGGAAGATCAATCGGTTCTGCTCTCATCTCTGCAGCTGTAGCTCTATTTGTACCAAGTAGCTCCTGAATTGATCTATGTGAATAGACAGTCGCCAATGAAAAATGTTTTATTCAAAATTTTAAACAGTGAGTCACGCCAGCTAAGTTCTCAAACTGCTCATTCAGAAGAAAGAAGTAACAGTATTAAAAAGTCAAGACGCCCTAACAGAGTAAGTCCCTGAGAAATACGTTTTTCATTTCTCATAGGTTTTAGTGATATTACGTTCAACAAGATGCGAATATTGTGTAGTGACAAGCGGCGCACTATCACACAGACAGGATATCGAATCTCGGGTCGATACCCGGCCAGGCCAACAAGCCACCCGTCCACGCCAACAAGCGGTCCATTCCTTCGGGGCCGTTTAATCGGACCCATACAATGGATAGAAGCACTGACTCGAATATCGGCTAGCCAAAGCATTTCATTATACAAGTCACATTCATATTGGGAAAAGTTCCCCATTACGGTTCGGAATTGAAGTCGAGTTTGGGATTATGCTTTGTTTTCCACTGCTCCTCGTCCCATGTAAATACTAAACCAAATTGCGTTGTCGGTATAGTGCTATAAAAGCACACGCCTGTCGCCAAACCTCATACAAGTCTTATTTTCGGAAGTTCCGCTGCTTCTTTATTCTTCTTCGACATCGTTTTCCGCTTTAATAAATTAGAGCAGTTGAGATCATAACCAGCAATGCTACGAAAAAAAAAAGACAAAACCTGGTACTTGGATGCGAATCGCTTCATATCCGATTCAAACTCCGAACAGACATGATTAACGTCTTGTAGCTGCTCTGAATACTTCTCCATGCTTGATTTGTGTTTTTCAATAAATTCATTTACTCGTTCTTCAATTTTTTGGTTTGCAGACGCCACACATTTTAGCTCGTCACTGAACTGTGCAGCTAACTGAAATAGAAGCAATGTTTGTGAGAGTCTTACAGCAAATGATAGCGTAACAGTTTATATACAGTGAACAGAGTTAATGTGAAAGGATGGTCTAAGGATAGCCCTGATAGAATTGGTATACTGACTAGAAAAGGAAATGACTATTGAACTGGTACGCCTTAAACAATTTCGTGATAAGCGCGGCAAGACTGAAGGTGAAGCTATGCCACATTCAACCTAATCGTAATGCAAAATTTCTGACCTCAGTCATTTTCTTTTCGACATCCATCCTGTACTTCCTCTCTGTCGTGAGCTCTGTTTCATACCGATCTGCTAATGATTTTGCTGCCCTTAACTTTTCTCGTGTTTTCCTTTCGTTTTCCTAAAAACGTAATGAACAAGTGTATGAAAAGAAACTC